AGTAAGGCCACGCGGGAATGTCAAAGTGATGTCTTCCAATACGTTCTTGTCGACACCAGGCCAAGCGAAAGAAGCATTCCGCAAGCTCAGTTCAGCGCTGCCTTCCGGAACTACGTCGCCCTGTTCTTTGTCTGGCTCTTGCATAAACTTTTCAATCCGACCCATCGCAACATAAGCATTCAGCAGTGTGGTGATCATCCGGGGCAGCTCGCGAAGATATGAGTCCAGCAAATTGAACAAATCAATAGCCGGAAAGATAAGGTCGACGCGCAGTGACTTGCCGGACAGTTTCGTGTAGGCGTAAAAGGCGACAAGCGGAAATAAGCCCACGCCGAACTTTACTATGAGGGCAAGAGTCGTTTCGAAAACGATCAGAATCACACGGAGGTGTAGTTCCTTCTGGCGCGATTCAAGGATCTGGTTCAGCCAAGAGTCCTGCCATCCATACCAGCGCAGATGTCTGATCGATTCAATGAATTGGTTGATGCGCTTCAACTTCTCATCTGTAGCGAGCCTACGTTTCTTTTCGAAGTACACCTTGTAGCGAGCAAGGACGACATTGAGCGATTGCGTGATGAATAGCGCCAACACGCCGAGCAAGCAGGACCAGCCGAGCATCCTCCAGATGAGGAGCGTTGCAAAGATGACGCCAACTGGCTTGGTGATGATATCGGAGAATTCCCAGAATCGCTGTGACACCTCGTAAACGTCATTCCGCATGAGGTTCAAAATCTTACCCATGGATGCAGCCGCGTCTTCTTTCTTTTCTGGCTCGGCTGGCTTCCTTTTGAACAAATTGCGGATGAACCTGAACGGGCCTCCAAAGACCTGCTGAAAGTGACTTGAACCTTTGATGGTCGATCCGTTGGCAGTGCCATTGGCTTCACTATCATCATGTCCGTTGGATTGCTCCTCTATCGGCTCCTGCTTGGCACCCAAGATCTTCCTGTTGAGAGTTTTCTCGTAAAGCATCGTGACCATCTCGCCTCGCGAGCGCTCATAAGCCCTCCTCTGATGCCACAATGCAAACACCTGGCTTTGAGCATTGATCAGTCGAAACAAAAGCGCAATGCAAGCATATGTGATGGTGACGTTGCCGCTCGAATTGGGGTTTTGCATCGATGCTAACAGTTGCTGTAGGAGAACGGGAATCGACAGCGTTGCAGCGAGTTGGAGAAGGCCAAGTGATGTAGTAATCACCAAGTCTATCGCGTTTGCCACGAATATTCTCTTCGTCACTGAGCCTTGTAGTACGCGGAAGGCGCTATGGAGTCGTTCATGCTTGAACTCGTACCCGAGGTCCCAAACATCTTCATCTCCCATATTTCTAGTCTTGCCTTTCGAGATGAGTGGTCGCATCCAAGAGACAGTCATGTATTGCAAAGGACTTAAATTGTCCTCTGGTGTCCGCAGTTTGACAGTAGGTGCGGTGAAGACGGGGCTGATGCCATCTTGTGGTAAGGCCGGGTCACGCAGAGGCATATTTAGCACAATAAAAATGCATAGCAATGATGCTACCGACGCGATGATCAAGGACGTCTCTTGTGCGTCCAGCGGTGACTGGGTATGCGAAAGCATGACGAGTCCTTCGAAAAACAGTCCCGTATAAGTTACCAATAGCGATAGTGAAGCCGTTCTTGGACGCTCCATGACAATGATGCCGATCGTGATTACCTATGCAATTAGTAGTGTTTTGGATCAAGGGTGGATTCCCTTACCCAAGCGACTGAAGGATAAATGCCACCAAAAGAGAATGAGGGAAGTAAGCTAGCCAGGATTTGCGTTTTAAGGCCTATCATAGATACCAGCAAAAGCCCGAATGTTGCAGACAATGGCCGTCGCCAGAAAGTAGAGATAGAGCTTAGTTCGTCCGGACTCTCCTTCTCTTCTTTGATAAATGGCTTCGCCCATCGCGGCTGATGCGCACGAAATATCCGCAAAGAGTAGGTGAGGAGGACAAATGCACTCAATATAGCTGGTACAGTCGCGATGTAAGGTAGCGCACATGTCGTGAAGCGTGCCGTTTGATTGTCCTGCGCAAATTAGAAACCACTTCCGCATTCAATCAATGCATAGTCAACATACCCATAACTTGTGGCATCGAGCTAACGGGGGAATGCCTTGGCTGGTGCTCCCCGAACTCAACGATAGAGGGATTTGAGCGGACGTCATGGCGACTTGTGGCAGCACTTCTCTTGTCGCGACAAGACCTCCTTCCACTTAAGCGCCTGCGATATAAAGTCCGAGTCGAGGTCCGTTGTCATGTATAATTTTTAAGGAAACTAGGCATCAATGATTGCGACAAACGCAAGAGTACCGGATGTCGGTGAACAGCCCTGCGAGTGGATTGCTGCTAACGAATAAGCAGGGTTCGACTAGCCGACTTCGGGCAAGCGCGAACTGTTGCGATCGCTCTGGCCCCCGCAACATTCACACGAACCTTTCAATACCTCGTCACCAGTATGACTCAAAACTACTGTCTGATGTGCAAGATTTGGTTTTGTACCATGGTCAGGTCGGAAGGTAATATCTCGCCGTGGGTCTGGTCCCTTACTTACGCGATGGAGAAGTTCGGTTGTAGGGAGAGAGATTGCGGGCGCTTTCGGGCGCATTCGATGTCACCGAAGCTGTAACCGCTTCTCTACAGGCGAGTGGAAGAACGCCAGCAGCTACACCGGTAAAGGTTGTTCTCACTCAGCTGAAGGCTATCAAATTCTCTCTGATCGAGGCGGTAGACGGATGAGCAGGCAATCGCATGCAAATTCGTGTACGTCACTTCGACTTCAGGCGTCACTCTCTTTCATAGTACCCTATAAGCCGCTACATAGGCGGCCGGAAGCGGAGGACAAACTCGCGAAGAGCTGTAAGATATGCTCACGTGCGTCGGCCGCTGAATGCGTGTAACAGTCAGCGCAAGCCCAGCCTTTTGATCTGGCCCATCGAAGTCAGATCGTACTCGTCATAGTCTTTCGAAGATGACAATCGGCTGTCAAATCGCATTGCCATGTCGTCCCGCACATGACTCAGTGCGAATGCGGGTATACTGTACCGCGACATATCGGCCCAGTAACATCATGGTTTGAGAACCCCATGCATGAACTTTGCAATCACCCCTATGACACCCGTCAGGAGAAGCGCTTGCCGGCATTTGACTAGATCAACACCAGGGCCACTCTTTTTATTCAAAGAGGTGGAATAAGACTGGTCACTGTACTAAGCTTGATCCCAATGTAGTAGGCACTTCGAAGGATGCGTATACGAACTTCGTACATGCATCCTCCTAGCCGGCGAAAATTTATCCCAATCGGCGTTAAGAATCCTCCATAGCTGCCGCTGGCGGCCGCTCGTCGGCGACTGTGCTTTCCCGAGATTTCATTGTTGGTAAGTCCGATAATACCGCGGTGGGAAGCGAGAGAAAGAGCCGCATGAAGTTAGATACAGTAGGGAAAAGGTTTACGCGAAGCTTGAGCCAGGGGATTAAAACCAATCAACAATAACAAGTGTCTGCAGCAACTAGGCAATGCCGCAGCTGTTCCCAACCGTATAAAGCCGCAGTGACCTACGATATATGAAATTGTATAATTCCATTGCCAATCTCTTTTATTACCCTCTTCCAGAAGCACTGCAAATTATCGATAAACAATGGCAGACAAAAGTATTGTCCTCGTCACAGGCGGAAACACGGGCATCGGGTACGAAACTGTGAAGGCTCTCTATGCTTCTTTCGACGCCCATGTCGTTCTTATGGGTAGTCGTTCGCTGGACAGGGCTCACGCCGCCATCGAAAAACTACAATCGGAAGTATCCCAATCACAGTCTGAAGTCGTACCGATTCAAATCGACATTGAAGACGACACCTCAATCGAGAAGCTCAACCAGGAAATCGAATCCAAGTACGGCAGGCTTGACATTCTTGTGAACAACGCAGGTCAGTCATTCTAGTGCACTACACCAAACCTATTCCTCCCTCTTACTACAATGCTAACAGCTATGATAGGAGGCTCTTACGACGCTGTCATGAGCGAGAAACCTACAGTGGCCGGCATTCGCGAGGCCTTTGACCACTCTTACTCGCTGAATGTCACTTCCACTCATGTCTTGACGAGCACCTTGATCCCACTCATCCTCAAGTCCTCGCAACCCCGCATTCTCTTTGTCACATCCGGATTGTCGTCTCTCGACAATTGTTCCAACGCTCGCCTACCTACGCTTGCTGCTCCCATTCCCAAAGGCTGGTAAGTCGCCACCCACTCCAGGCAATCGCAATGACACATTTCGTAGCTGACCGCTTCAAACCCACAGGCCTAAACCGCCCGTTCTCTCTCAGATCGCATACCGTAGCTCCAAGACAGGATTGAACATGTTGATGTTGGAATGGCAGAGGTTCCTCAAGGTAGACGGAGTCAAAGTGTTCTGCATCTCGCCGGGATTCCTGGCCACCAACCTGGCTGGCATAGGCGCCGAGAAGTTGAGGCAAATGGGCGCTGGAGATCCGAGTCTGGGAGGGGCTTTGATCAAGCATGTGGTTGAGGGAAAGAGGGATGCGGATGCCGGCAAAGTGATAAACGCTCAGGGTGTCCAGCCGTGGTAATCTAGCGAAAGCCTGGCACTTAGTGGAGAATGGTAGATGTTTTGCTAGGTTTTCTTATTAAGAATAATTCTGGTGGCATAGCTTGTAGTAGTCTAAAAATTTCGCGACTTACACAGCTTCAACCTAAATTATTGTTAAACTCGATAAGCCTAGTATAAGGATGATTATCGTATAGAGAAGCATCGATTTAGAGGGGTCCAAAGTACGCTAGCAAATTTAGGAACCAAAGAGCTCACGGGTCTTCCTTATTAAGCGAGTAGTGCCCCACCCAATCATAAAAGCGCCAGTCTCTTATCTCCAAACTTAGAAAGAAGTCGAGATTGGTAGTATTGAGCTTACCTCTCGATGGAGTAGTATGATTGTATATATATTTTTTATTTTCAGTCTTCTCCATACAAATATAAAAACATCCAATGTGGTCTAGTGGCTAGGATTTGCCGCTCTCATGAAAGCACCGGCAAGGCCGGGGTTCGATTCCCCGCATTGGAATAATTTACTTTTTGCGAGGCTGTGCAACCTATCTTTTGGGATCGGCACACTCCATCCCTACACGTTGTGGCTAGGCGGATACATTATTTTTTCCTCTATACAGTTTAATGTGTGACAGTCTAGTATCAGCATGACTCTAACAGTCTTTTCTAGCAGCGTGGCTATGGAGATAATTAATATTTAATGTGTAAAATATTTTGCTTATGTGTGTTAGAAGCCGATGTACTTAAGTCCTATAGACTATCGGGGTAGAATTCCTTGGTAATTGGGTAATCGCAATTCTGCCTGTACACCACGAGGGACATTAGCAATCAAAAATCACTAATGGTAGTCTTAAGCAGCGTGGTAACCATGTATGCAGAAAGAATGGAGCACTATCTACCACCACGAAAGACGGCAAGGGGTTTCAAACACGTGGCGCTTATTATAGGATTTGGTTCATAAGTTAAGCTGGTGTGATTCTAAGGGTCATTTGGAAATTGTCATGCAAAGTATAAACTTAATAAGTGGTATTAAGATGAGAAGCAACGCTTAAAGTGTACCGCATCCAGTAGCTATCTTAAGACTTCAAACTTCCTGTTCTTTACCCTGCTCAGCCCATGCACCGCACCTAGCCGCATGTGGCCCACTTCTTCGTTTGGCCTCTCATCTCCAATGTAGCCGGGTAGTCCGTTCACTGTTCTCTTCCACTGCTTTTCGGTTTCCGATCTCGCCAGCTCATCAGTGTACACCATCCCCATCTTTAGCAGCGCTGCCAACGAACAGAACGTTCGATCCGAACAATCGATCCGAACGGCGTTTTCTGGTGTTTTGGATCGAACGAACGAACAGGCATGGTGGGTCGAACAGAGCTTCGAACGAACGCATTATTAGAGCCAAACGTTCGGTTGTTCGGGACTACGTTTGATCGATTTAGTATGGGGATTCTGTCCTAATTGGTGGAGTATTACCTTGTTCTGCTGGCCTTGTGCCACGCGTGGCGTTGTCGTATATTGCCTTGTGCAACGTTCTTGTAGGAGAAGAAAACTCTGAGTTTTCTCGTCGACGTGCCTCCCACTGTTTCCCATCGTCAGCCGTGAGCGTATCTTGTTATGGATCAATTTGTTACCCGCTCGCAGTCGTCCCAGTCGACCCAGTCGACCCAGTCAACCCGGCTGGCATTTGACAGCTATCACCATGCCGGGTCGCGTACGGCAGCTGTCATGGCGATGGCGGAGAGCTTCGAGAGCTTGGATGACTCGCCATCTGAAGTGGAGTCCGTCGCTCCTACGCATGAATTTCCCGGCGAGCTGAAAGCGTCCGGAGCTCGTTTTCCTATTGTATGGACCCGCCTCTGGCAAGGCAAACGTCTCCTCAACCACGTCGTCAAGAAGGATGCCGGCTAAAACATCCAGCTGGTGGACGGCAGCCAGTTTCTCGACCACAACACCAACCTCCTTCCTAATTAGGAAAGTTGTATATATACGAACGTTCGGCCGAACGTTCGTTGTACTGTTCGAAGACGCTCCTGTTCGAGTCGTCTCGAACGTACGTACATTTGTATGTGGGCCGAACGAACGAACAAGCACCTTGTTCGGATCCTGTTCGATTCGTTGGCAGCGCTGATCTTTAGCATCACCTCCGCACCCATTGTCCCAGCCTACGGTTTCATCAGCACAGTGTAAACCGTGAGCATAAACAGTCCGAATAAATGTAACTCCAAGAACAGAGACCCCACGATGATGCTGGCGTCGATGATCTTAGGTTTCGTAGTCGGGATACCTATGCCGTATCTTATTCGAAGTGAAATGCCATCCGAGTTTCACGCGGAACGCGTGGCCGAGCCGAGCCAAAGTTTGTTTGCCGTGAACAGTGCCTGGTTTATTGCGGTGGGCACCTCTCTTCTGGCAAAACTATCACCGTCAAATCTGAACAAGAAGTCTCGAGCTTGTCGCAAAACATATCCCTCGTCTAGCGATTCGTAGTGGGTTACGCAATCATTTCCATTCAACCATGGGAAGAGGGGCCTCATGTAGACGCAGCCGCCTTCGGCTACAGGCATTTCGTATGTTTGACCTTGTGTGTAATAGTCCGGAGGAACAACGAATCTAGTTGGGTTTGAGATTCTGGACTCTACAAAGGAAAAGCGGCCGAAGAGAGCAAGGGCGACTGATGCGAGCGGGCCTCTGTTCATCGACTTTGATATGGTGGCGTTGCCAGGGTCGCTCGTATTGACGGCCCTCTTATCCATGGGGTGGGTGAACTGAACGTGGTTGTCGCCAAAGGGGTCTTTGTCAAGCAAACCACCCGGCGCGTCTCCGTTGTGATGGCTCGGTAGTTCGAAGTATCTGAGAGACGTGTTCGCTGCGAGTTTCCAGTAAGTCCAATTCTCACCGTAACTACTTCCCATGATACCTATATATGGTTCCTCGGAAATGTCCTGACGATCGCGCGTCGGTTTCCTAGGAGTATTGCGTAGGTCCGTTTGCATGCACGCCACGAAGCTCCAGTCACTTGAACCTTCGAAACCATCGGCATGCTCGTATTTGGCGAAGAAGCTACCGTTATCGGTTTCGTTGCGGTAATTGTCTCGATATTCGCTCTCCGTAACTTTACTGTAGGATACAGATGAGTTGATACGTGGAGCGTACTGGACGATCGGGTGTGTGCCACCGGAAAAATTCGAGGCAAGCGGAGCATAAACACTGCCAAGATTGTTTTCCGAATTAGAACTATGAGAAGTATAGTAGTTTCAAAACGGATCCCCAGGTTGTCCCCATCGATTTAAGTCGGTGGCACTCAAGTACGGCGACTCTAAAAGGCTTCTTAATTTGAGAATGAGTTCGCCGTTATCGGATACAACATCGCCATCGGGATAGATCGTCGGTTTGTTGCTCTGTAGCATGCTGGGTATATCGTTTACGTAGAAATCATTGAGGCCAGAATCGTCTCCAGATGCCAGTATAGATTCTGGCTCGCCGAAGGCGTTCTGGAGGGTCTGTGAGGTGCTCCCTGAGGTGTCGTTGGCCTGGTTCATGACAAGTTGAGAACGAGAGTCGGGATATGTAAGCAGGCAGGCAGGCATATGAGGGCAACAGCTGTATTGCTATCTGCAGAAAAGAGTGTGTTGAGTGAGGAGTCTGCTGAGAGGAGAGAGCGCGAGCGAGAGCTTTTGTTGAGTCCCTAGTCCGTGCACCCAGGTAGCACCTTCCATGTATACCACCTCTGACGTCAGTCACGTGGCTACAGGGTAAGATATATTGTCATTAGGCAAACTTGTGGGCTTACCGATAAGAGTCAACGCAAATGCAATAAACAGTGGAAGACTACCCAAGTACGCGAATTTCGTCAGTATCCTAGGGGATAACCAGCCTCGGTCTGCTAGCGCCATCGATTGTCTTAATGTAAGGCTTTTTCTCGGAGAACCTGACTGCATGTATGCTACGCATGCTATGGAACATATCGCCGTAGTGATAGGAATCGTTATAACCGCAGTAATAGATTGTAAGATCTGTGCCGTCTCGAAGTACTTCTCATTGACAGCGTACCAGTTTTCGGGCCTGTACGTCTCACTTTCTCAAGCATAGTAGCCCTTTTCTTTTCTGATGGGTCGTTTGCTCATTATGCACAGGATCGTCCATGGAAACAGAGCAAACGCTGCGTAGACGAGGAATACGAAGAAAGGCCAAAGGTTGATCCGGATGGACGTGGTTGCTGGCTCGCGAGCGGTGATTGAGGATCGGGGTGACAGTGGCATCGTCGAAGTTTATACTGTTCCGTCCATACCAACCGGACTCTGTTGTTCGCTATTGTTCAACATAGCGCGGAGCTCAAATTAGTTTTGATCGTGTTGCACCATGACCGTACGCGCGTGGAGGAGAATCAAGCAATAAATGCAATGCTAGATATACATTGAGGAAGCGCGTGTGTTCGGCGAGTGTAAATAATACTGTATGTAGCAAGAGTATCGAATCTTTGATAACCACTGTGGCTTTGTACTGTCAGCTTGCATAGGCACATGAAGCCGAAACAACGGACAAAGCAATGGGCGTTATCCAGGTGGCCATTCCAGTACCACAATGGGCGCGGACGCCGGACGATGTATAAACTCGCCTTGCAGAGGTAGCCCTAAGCCTCGTTCTAGCGAGGTACACTGCCACGCGACCGGGGTCATTTGGGGGCGATGAGATACACATATTTCGAACGGAGTTGCGGCCTAAAGTCATCACAGCGCAGGTAGCTCCATGAGTGTCAAGCGGACGTTGCAAGGCTGACGCCGTGCGATAACATAATCGCGATGTTTGCTCTTGAAGAGCCACCGAACTTCTGTCATGCTCAGTGGAAATCGCAAGGTGGGCTGCGTGACCTTTAGCGGCGCAAATTCGAAAGTAGCCAAATCTCGAACCGCCCAAGTACAAGGGTGGAATCGCATCACCACTGTGAATACCAAGTATTGCCAAGCGATACGTCCGTCAAGAAGGTTAGTGTGACTGACTGACCGGTGAGTCGGCCAGAGCGGGTCGCTTTGAAACAATCTCCATTTGCGTACTCGTACGTATATCATACAGAAACCCCGGGCCCGGTTCGTGCGAGATTTGATGCGAGGAAGTTCAGTGCACCTGCATCTGTCAGCAAGCAACTGTCCGATTAAAAATATTGCCCATGTGTGAAGGCGTGCCGAGAGTCTGTAAGGGTTTAAGTGTACGCTTTGTTAAAAGGCAGTAGATTGCGAAGTAGACCTGGCACTTCTCCTCTTTCAGCCGAAAGCACGACCCGTAACCTCGGGCTCGTTTCTCCCAACGTACTTACCTGCAGGGATCACTCGCTTTGGGAATCACTCTTGCCATGCGGCAAACTAAAATTTGGCATCGATTTTCTGCCTTGTCTAGTTAATACTGTGCGGCTTCTCTACTACATAAACTAAGATAAAGTGTTATCCAGCGACATTAGCTTGGACGGAAGAGGAAATAAGAATGGCTCCTATGTCATTCTCGTAGATATAGGAAAGTTCGTACCGATCT